ATGTATATTTGTCACATTATTAATAGGCTCATGTCAAATGCACTTAATAAGTTACCATGGAGCTAAACTGTAGTTTTTAAGGATAATGTGCACCATAATGTATGATGATTGAGAGGCTACTATCCTATATCAAGAGAAATGGAAAGCTAGTTCTTATCTTTATTTATATAACTTAATGGTATAATTCTTAATAAAATATATCTTAACCATTTTTTTGTCAGATCCAATGGTACGTAGACAGTATTTAAACTAATGTGAATACAATGCAGAAAAAATCCAAACAAAAACTTTGAATGTCGTGCTTAAAATTAATCAAATGTTCATTCTTAGGAAAACAGTACATAAAAACTACAATGATATTAATATTTGTTAACTGTACCAAAAATTAAAATTGTAGATGGCACTTTGTCTTCCAGAGTTTTTCATCTCAGGTATAGCAAAAGAGGAGCTGTACAAGCCAAAGAATAAACACTTGTATATCAGAATGGCATATTAACTTTTATAATACAACAACCATCCCTTATCAATTGAAGAAAAATCAACTTATAGCTTTATAAATATTAACTACCATTCTTATTAAACCTATTAAAATATTTTTTTAATTTTCCAGATTTAGTGGCAGTGAATTTAAAACAAGATGAAGTGACAGAAAGCATTTACAAAAAATAAGAATTTTACACAAAACATCAAATCACTTCAGTGAAACATAGCTTTAAATTGAAATCTACAAGAAACTTGACTCCAGAAACTGATGGGGAAAGATAACGAAGCCAATTCATTCTTGAAAAAAAATTTCAGAACTAGTAGTTTCAGAGTTTCAGCATTTAGTTGTTGCAATAAGACAAGGGCTTCTCAGAAATTAACCCTGCTCTGCTTGTATCAACAAAATTTGACTATATATGTTGTGTGTGTCATTCCCAAGAATATGTCATAAACAAATGATGATATTGATAAAGTGCCTTCATGTACTGCCCAAGATTTGCTCCAGAAACTTCAATATGGAATGAAAAATATTAGGAGAACAAAATTATAGCAGATTTCCAAGGAGGGTAACAGCCCCTGATCTACCTAACTCACTATAAACTGTCCCCTGATCTACCTAACTCACTATAGACTGTACGATGTGGAGAGAACATAGATCAAGATACTCTACATGTGCATGTGGTGCTCAGGCAGCAGATTAGGGTAATGGTAACATCACAAATAGTTCATGGCAGGCGTTTCCAAAAGGAAGAAAGGAGTAATATTAATCATAGGTACTTCTTCAATGTTTCTATATCTATATGTGCATGTATAAATAGATGTCTATGTGGAATAATAACTTATAGTTATAAAATATGTTCAAAGCTTTAATGAGAAATCAAAGCCAAAAACTACTACAAGAAAGTATTTTTAAACCCTCAAAAATGCAGCAAAATATTTTCTGACTGTTCCAAACTTCAATTCTGTAGTTGAGCAACTTCAACTTTCTTGATAACATTTCAGGATGATTCAGCCTGTATTTTTCCTTATAGAAGAGAGTTTTAGCATAGTCTTTTAATCACTTATCTTGCTTATCACTTATCTTAATCAACAAAAAACTTAACAAAATTATCAATGATAAATCCAAATAATCAGTAAAACCACTTACCAAAGTTGACACTGGAATTGAAAGTAACCATACTTTAGATCTGAGGAGCATTAAGAACTAGATGATTAAAATGCTAATGGTTCTGGAATTCAAAAAATCCTCAGCTGCATTACTTTCCTCCATGTTGAACAAAATACTTCAATAGAACCCCTATCACTACCCTTTAGACAAGAAAAATGCAAAGATGAATCTTAAAGATATTAAAAATGATGAAGCAAAGTCAAAGGCTTTCACAATAAACTGATGGGCAGCAGCAGACTGACTGTAGTTGAACATGACAGTGTTCTTCAACAATACTCAACATTTCTTGATCAAATATTGTAGTGAATTTGTATAGTTTAGCCTGACTAATAATAGAATTTAACATATACCTTGAAGTAGAGCTAAGCTATTAGTGTAATCTGCTAGCTGACTGATCATCAGGCTCATTAATCAATTACCTTTCACTAAATCAATTATTCTTACATATAACTTGAATAGCTGGAATAATCAAAAATAGTAATAATTGGAAACACTAATTTTGATTATTTGCCTGAGTCATGACACTAATCAATTAGGCTTGAATTAATCAATAATAATAATGAGAAACCATAATATCAATATTTCAATTAGTTGATTATTTTCATGATATCAATCCATATAATCATAATTTGATTAATCAATTATTTTAAGTGACATAATTCAACACTCTTAGGTAATCAAATATATTGATCAAATGATTTAAATGCTTTACCTTAGATGTCATCTATGTGAGAAGCCACAGAAACAAAGAAATGAAGTAACTCTACAAATAGGTTTAAACATCAAATATGATATCAGTTTTTCCTGTATCTCTGTTACACAGGTGTCTGTGTGTCTATATATGCACACACACACACACACATGAAACAGGTAATGAAGACCAATACTGTAACAGGCTGTACCACTGAGGCAACAAACCATTACAAATAACAGTCAATGGTAATTTCATTCAGATCACCAACTCAAGGAAGTTTATAAAAGAACCAAGGAAACAGTCAATATTCATATGCAAAACATATATTTATTTAACTTCCAAAAAGATAAAAATAATAGTTACAAAAGATGCAGTTCAACATCTGTTAAATATTATGATAGACTTATTACTTACACTTATAAAAAATCTCTTAATTACACATCATTACTACTTCTTTCAAACTTGTTATTTCAACTAAACTTTCTAGTTTCTTATGCTTTGCTAGTTACATTTATAGATTTATACCATAGAGTATATCATACTTATTGAAAAACAGAAACTTGGTTCATTGAAGTAACTCAGGGTGCTGTCAGTTTCACTAGCAGGACAAAGACGCTTGACTACTACTGGATGAACTTGGCGACTCCCAGTTAACTGATAACTCCCCTCTAGCTTAGTCTGAGCATTATACTTAGCATTATACTCCAATCCTTCCTGTCTCCTCTAATTATTATAAACTTTCTAAGTTTATTTCCACTGATTTAAGTTCATTCTCTTGTAGATATATAGCAAATAATGAGCAAAGTTCATGGTGATTAGTGAGTAGTACCTCTTCCAGTAGAATCAAATAATCTCAGCCTTCCAGTGTTTAGTTTGCTGTACATGTGAATAATCACTATTTTTAGTAAATATCTATCTTATTTCAGTCTTTCTTCCATCCTGAAGCTCTGTCAATACTTACTTCATTAACTATCTTCTACTGCATGGCCTATGGTTAAGATGCTATTTTCCTACTCAATGCTGTTTTCCATTATTCAGTGTACACTGCCAACTATGATAACCAATTCTACTATGTTGCTTCAAAAGCGATTTCTCACTTGCAGCCAATACAAATGTTGATTACACTTTCATTTGGAATGATTTGTAATAGCTATAAAAGTCTCTTCACCTTTATCTGACAGAAATGTTACTATGCTCCTTAATTAAAATAGGATAATAAACCGATGTGTCCTGTCTTTGACCAGGCTATGAAATATGTGACTGTTTATACATTCAAACTTTTACTCAACCATATCTTTTAGTTATCTTTAATGTGGGAATGTTTCACTATCATGTTACAGAATTTGTTCAAAACAGGTTTCAAATCAACATACAAGAAATTAAAAAAAAACAGAAGTGGTCATCCTTATTGGACATAGCTTTAATGGCTGTCTTCACTTCAGGTAAAGACTTATTTTGTTACAATTTTTGTGATATAAGCAAATATAAACATTCTCACAAGTTCCTTCTGCAAGACAAAAAATATATATACATTATTTCAAAAAGTCTACAAAATATTAGTTCACATGCAACCCAAATTTAAAAAAATTCCCTAAAATCCAAACATACCTAAAGTGTTTTAGTTATTACCAATAACAAAAAAGGTGTACATATATATGCCTGTAATAGTGTCTATTAAAATTCATCACGGCCTAATTCACCTACTTTAATACTACTGGGACATTATATACAATATACAGTTTGTAGTGATCAGCCAATTAGAATATTATTGGAGTTATTATCATATGCTGATCAACACATAAATAAAATTATAAGAACTACAAATCATGATCAACTGACACTACCAAAGATTTAAAAACACATATAAAAGTTGCTGAAAAACAAATTTCTGTTTCAATATAATATAATTATTATTATGTACTAGAGAATATGGTTAGATAGGTTAATTAAATTAATTTGTATATAATGTGCAACATCTCAGAAAAGTATCATTTGGACTTTTTCTAAATTTGTATTTTCTGACTGACTCATACTTTGTGGTAAAAACCTTCTTCAAAACCTAACTTAAAAAGAAATCACTGTGATTTCTGAAGAAGAGTAGAAAAGTAATAGTTTAATATCTCTATATACGTAACATAGAGATGAAGAAATGAATATAAAAGTTCAAACTCATTTCTCAAACAGCAAACCATCTGGAAAATACTATTACCATCTTTGTTGTTTGAGTTCCATTCCTGCATGAACTGTCTGTTTGTGTGTTTTTAAGTTACCCTTCCACGAGAATGACCTGAAGCATATGGAACATTGATAAGAGTGGCGAGCAGGTCTGTGCATCTCTTGGTGTCTTTTCATATTAGACTTACTAGAAAATGTCTTCTTACATACTGAACATTCATTCTCCTTGATAATTGCAAGTAGGGAGTTTTCATCAAAGAATGTGTTGAGATTACTTGAAGAATATCCTATTGAAACACACACAAACATATTATAGATAAGTTTATCTTTCATGAAAAAAAAAGTAGGGTACAATATCCAACACAGGTTATCAATACTTAATTAATCAAATTATTAATTAATTGTAAAATATTAAATAGTACTATGATTTTGTAAGTTATATTCAATATCATATACTTTTAGTTAAACCTCAATAAAACTGTTTTCATGGCTTTCATAATATTTAGCTATTTTTATGCTCAAAAACAACTGTCAGGGTGATTTTTTAAAGATATATAATTAATAAAACACAGTAGTTCTTCATTGTCAGTTTTGTACAAACAATATTCTTTATTAGCATAATAACAGATACAAAAATATTACTTTTGTGTAAAAGTTAGTTGCTATTAGAAAAAAACATTTTGCATTTCAATATCACATACAACAAACATATTTGATCATTTACTCTTTCTATGACATTCACATCACGTTACTTGTCCTCTATATCTTTTATTCATATTCCTTTCTTTCAATGCATAATGCAGTAAGTTAGAAATGTGTGTGTACAAGACATTTCAGAATATAGACATAAACCACATAAATATGTGCACTTTGTTGTGAACATTACAAGCCAACTGACTGCAAAAAAGGATCAACAGATTTACTAGAGTTTAATCATACATCAGTCTACACATGATTTTAAAATTTGTTGCAATGTAGAAAGCAGAAAGGCCAAGATGTAGAAATATTTGAACAAACCTGTTAATATCAGTCAAGGATAAAGCTTTAGTTTTGACAACAAATAAAGCAGCCAACTGGATTTGCAAGATTTTGATTTTTCAATTTCTTAGTCTGCTGCTATGCAGATATAAAAAATACTACCTATTAATCTTTTTATTAACTAACACTACCATACACATTATATTAATAACATAGGATAAATACAAGTTATCTGAAGGCATTTACTATTTCTACAAATATGTACAATACTTTTTTAGTACTATTATAATATCTTTAAAAAGTGAATTAATATTTTAGAAATAAAGAATTATATTTCACCAGTAAAACCCATTTGGTTATTATAATCAAGATTTATTCAATGGTATAAAAAACATTTTCAACCTATTTTCAGAGAAATGGCAACCATTTTTTCTTCCTATACTAACTGATAATATTTATGCACTCAAATATAATGCAATATGCAGTTGAGGTAAACTGCCTGATTGGAGTCAAAGCGCAACTTAAAAATTTGTAAAGTTACTATATTATTACTAAAATGGTAAAGTAACATAAACTAATTGGAAACTTAATACATGCATATTAAATCTAAATAAAACTTTCACTGACTTTATATTTTATATATAATTAGAATTTTTATATAAACAGATATTTCCCTAATTTTGATACTAATAAATGCATATACTGTGGATTTACATGTAGATTAGCTCTTAACCCAGTTGAATTTTTTAATTATGCTGTCAATAGTAAATTTTACAAGGCATGCAAACTTTATCAATTACTGAAAAATGGTTTAAATGCTATATATCAATACTACAATCACTAGACATCTTTATTGATTTAGGAAAAATGAAAACATTCTTATGGATGTTGTATATTCTAAAGAACAAGTCCAACAAAATCATTTATCTAATTTCCTTTCCTTTTTGTTTCATTATTTATATTTTTCAAGTTTATTGGATGGAACCAAGCCCAATTATGCTTATACATGTAGAAGAAGATTTGTCACATCCTTATACATGTAGAAGAAGATTTGTACAAATCTTCTTCTACATGTATGAGAATGTGACAAATCTTCTTCTACATGTATAAAAATGTACAAATCTTCTTCTACATGTATAAGAATGTGACAAATCTTCTTCTACATGTATAAGAATGTGACAAATCTTCTTCTACATGTATAAGAATGTGCACATTTTTATACATGTAAATTTTGAATTCTTACATTTGAATAGGTAAATCACATTATTCATGCACTTTTCAATATTTTATTTAACTTCAACAAACTTTTAAGTCTTAAGTTACTTCAAAACACAGTTTGTAGTGAAACTTGAGGATATATTTTGGTCACTAAGCTTTTCATCATGTAAGGCAGTAAGGAGAGCGGGAGTAGGCAACCTTCCTAGCCTTCAACAAACACAGGTTACATATGTCATTTTATGGAACAAATGTAATTCATTAAAACAATTTTACTAAGTTCTGATCCACTGTTTCTATATAGATACGCTGATTCACACATCTAAAGCTTTGATGAATTCAATTGACATATGACCCATGTTCCCACTTCACACCAAAATGAGTGTGTGAAACTCCCTTCATGATTTCAACAACCCCATCACCTAGAGGTCTGGCTATGGTAAGATGCATGAAAGTTTGCCTACAAAAGGTAGTGTTATAGTTATACAAGGTTTTACAGATGAAACTAAAGTAAGGATGTATTGGTTTTGTTCGGGTTTCTCTCAACAAAATTACCAGGATACCCATTTTTACAAAGTATAGTTTTTATATTTGATAGTTCTTCAAGAAACAGTTTACAAGATCAAGCTAGATTATAGGCCCTGGATACAAGAATGAAAATTAAACTTTTCTTAAGATAATTAGGAACAAAGCTAATAAATGAAAGTTTTTCTGTGATAACATTAAGCTTAAAATCCAAAATTCATACCTTCTTCAGAGTATCAAGGAAAGGAAGTTTCCATTCATTTGCAAATACACCAGTGAAACTCATGTTGTTTGTTTTCAGGTAGTTAAGATGAGAGCACCTACTAGATTCTTTAACACCTATAACCAAAATATAATGCTACCCAAAATTTGACAAAGAAGTGACCTGCAAGTTGAAAAAATTGTATTCAAATGCCAGTTAAAAGAAAAAAAATAATTTATCACAATGTTTGAAGTAAATGCTCTTGCTCACATAATCTCATCATTCTAAAAGATACAATGTTCAAAAAAACAGACGATGCAAGTTTTGTATGCCAATAATATTATGGGCAGTAATGGCAGAAAAAACAACAAAGGAAAAAGGCAACAGAAAAATCCAAAGATAATGAAAGTGGAGATATAATATAAATAGTAATCATCTGGAAATGACCATTCTCATAAGTGGTTGTTTTTAATACAATGTAGTTATAAGTTTAGTAAAAACATGTGTTTTATGTATTAAAAATAGTACAAAGCCATAATATATTTGATACAAAGGGAAATCATTGTAGTAAGATATGTTATGCAAATTTTTTTCTGTGTGTTCCACAATTTTTCTTTTAATTGCTGATAATATTCCTGTCATTTGTTATTGTAACATCTGTCTTTTTCAAACATAGAATCTTTGATATACTGCTAGTACCTGATGAAAAATTTTTGCTCAAACTGTATTAAAAAATGTTTCATTCAATTGATGCTTACTGAGTTTTCTATCTTCAAACGTTTCTTGGCTTCCTTATTTCACCAATGTATACTATTTCATCTTCTTTTTCTTGTAAGGAGACAACTTAGAAGGCAAGAGCCAAGTGCAAGTTTCATTCAGAGATAGAACGTGGAAGGAAGTTAGTTATTAGAGGTGTATTTATAATAAGTTACAAGTTAATAAACTGGGAGAAGCTGAGTTCATCATTAATAAAATTATATCCGGGATAAAACTTTATTCATCTACTTAATATAGCTGAGTGATTAGTGGAATATTTAATCCTCAGGTTCATTAACCAATTCTACTAATCAATTATGCTTACAAGATTTCAATAGTCAGAATAAATTAAAATAATAATAATAATCAGAAGCACTAATTTCAATTAGTTGTTTATTTTTGAGCCATGACAGTAATTGATTTAGTTGAACAGCCTTGAATTAAACAAATATAATAATAATAAAATCATAATGGCAATATTTTGATTATTTGAACTGTTGGAATAATCGAAAATAATAATAACCTGAAATGTATATTTCAATTAGTCAGTCAGTAATTATTTATTTCATGAATCCTGAAAAGAAAAACACATAATATAGACAATTCATAGGTGGCAGTACTTTTCTCAATGATATAGCTACCAATAGTAGTTTTAGAAAGTAATTCAAGATGGTTACTATGTAATTTGAGTCAATGTTGTAGTGGAGACCTCAATATTCAAAACTAAGACCTTGGAATAAATTACACAATGAAAAATAAAGCAAGAAGTACAAAAATCACATGCATCAAACATACTTTTTAACATCTTACCCACAAATCTTTTACATGTTAATCCACAGTCTTTGTTTTAACATTTCCTCCTATGACAAAAAAAAAAGAATGAATAAAAAAATACATAAAAGGGTCAGCAAATGGAACTAAAACCAGTATCGATGTCAGTAAATTCTTTATGATCTTTGAAGCCAAACAGGATCACAGCAGATCTATTAGACATGTTGAATATCATGATAATCGCTAATGCTTGACGTAAAGACATGCACCAAATGAAGTGCGTGTTATAACCATGAACTGGTGTACAGGTGTATTACTAACTACCAAGGGGGTTTTACTAGTAAAATATCTTTGTAAAGATGCAGTAAGGTGTAGTATTAACTACCAAGTGGGTTTTACCAGTAAAACATCTTTGTAAAGGTGTAGTACTAACTAAGCGGTCTTACTAGTAAAACATCTTTGTGAAGGTGTAGTACTAACTACCAAGGAGGTTTTAGTAGTAAAACATCTTTATAAAGGAGTAGTACTAACTGCCAAGGGGGTTTTACAAAGGTGTAGTACCAACTATTAATGGGTTATACTAGTAAAACATCTTTGATGCTACACTGCACCTTCTATGAAATGAAGGCATAATCAGTATTTAGCATTTAATAATCCTGGGTCAAAAATAATCCTGGCTGGTCTAATACTAGTAAAACGTTTAAATTTAGCCACTCTCATTTTTGAAAGCTGTAAAAAATTGATACCAAGTCTTACAACACTGATTTGTGTGAGAGTCAGAGGCAACCTGCTGAAAAAATATTAGTGGGTAATGGCATGTGATGGAAACAAATATGTATATTGCTATATACATATGTGACAAATCAACGTGTATGGTCTCACTCATCTGTAGGAACTTTACACAACGTCATTCATGAGTATTGCATAGCATGAATAAATCAATTACATAATAAACACAGTTATTAAGCTATATGTGAATGGAAACAAAAGATCTGTTCTGGATATCAAACAGAGCTGGGCAATTGGTTGTATTTGCTAACTGATTACTCGATAGGACCATTAACTGGTTACATTTGATTAACTGATTAATACAGAGTTCCTCAAACCATAATACATGTTCTCCTTACATGCAAGAAAAAATTTAACGTTATACTTTTCCTATACTGAAAATGTATTTTTGATAGGTACTTCCCTCCACTCACAAGATTAGCTATTCTATATGCAAACTTTTTTATTACACATGCCACAATCCTTCTGCACCCCCTTATTGGAATCAAATGATTCCAATGTGCCTCTCATGCAAATCATCATGCTTCACCTATCCACCAATAGAATCATAGAACACTCACGTGATGCATGTGACTCCCTCTATGTGCCTCTACCAAACTATCACTTCAAAGTTTGGTAGTTGAAAGAAGCACCAGAAGTGAGTGGGGAGGAAGGGTGGGAAGTGTGAGGAGGGAAATAGCTATCAGAAATACATTTTCAGTACGTCCATGTAAAAACGAAAACGCAGTTGCAGGGCATGAAGATAAAAAGCAAAAGCTCGTACCACCCAACAGAAAACATCCAGAGCCAAAAGGGTAGGGCGTGAAATTGGTATACCACCTCTCAATGGATAAACCGAAGCTAAGGAAGAGACCATTTCAAGATGGGAATATGCAGATAGGCATTGGAGATATCCATCTTGTCATCCATAGACCTGGAGAAAAATCCCACTGAAGATTGAGGTAGGACTCAATGGTGAAATGTGGGAGGTGAACAAAGTTATTGAGGCAGGACAGATCGATGACAGGCCTCTAGTCCCTGGTCTTTTGGGGAACAAACAGACGGGAGCAAAACCACGGTGAACGAGGTGGAACAGGTTCTATAGCTTGTTGGGTGAGGAGGTCCTGTATCACCTCTGATAGACACTGGCAAGTTACTGGATCCTGAAGAGAAGGGAAGGAAACAGGTACCTGGGACAAGGGATGTGGAGCAAGAAATGGAATTTTGATTCCTGAGAACCCAAAATTCCGAGATGAAAAGGCACCAATGATAAACGAAGATTGCAAGGCGAGCTCCCACTTGGCTCAAACCCACCAGTTAGTCTCTGGAACTGTTGGTTTTAATGTGCTTTGTTGAAAAAAATGGTGAGCCGTGGCACTGTGGGAAGGATGGGAAACTGAAATAGATGCCACACTTAGCTCTGACTGAGATAAACAGGAAACTAGATGTGAAAAGGTAGAGTTGCTGGGTAGATGCCACCTGAGACTCCAAGGATTCCGGACCATATCAAAGACAAAACGTCTTAAAAGCAGAGCCATACGCAAATCCTGGAGATAAGGAGCAGGTAAACGGGTACGAAATAATATAAAGAGCATCACAACCCAAAAGGTCCCAACAACAAAGACTGCAAAGCCAGAGCCAAAGACAATAAATGAGCCAATGAGAAGATAAGGAGAGAGAGGGTGTCTCCAGAAAACCTCTCAGGATTTCTGTATGGAGCCTCAGACAGAGTTGTGAAAATTAGGCATGGGCGAGACTAACAGGAGAATCAGGGCCCACGCCTCAAATGGGAAAAACCAAACCTAACAGCTGTTGGTCAAAATATGGACAGTCCACCCTAAGAAATGCGAGGGCCGACTGATCCAAAACCCATGAGGGACGCGGCATACTTGCACAATTTCCCAACTCAGAGGCGAACTGGTCAGCATGGACCCGAATGTCAAGAGATAGTAGAAAAACTAAATAGGGTTGGGAAGTATGTTCATGCAATAACAAAGGATGCGAGTCATAAGATATACGAGCAAGGGATAAAACATCACATATCTGAGAAATAAAGTCTGAAAAAACCGTAGACGGCCAAACAGAATCCTCAGGGAGGGTATGGGACAGCATGGCAAAATCTGGAGGTGTTAACAGGCATTCAAAGTCCTCATTAGCCTGACCAGGTACCATAGGTTCAGGAGGAAGAGGGGTCTGGAGATAAAGATTGACCCATATAACATTCAATCTCCCTGCGAATAAACGTAGATAAATCTCTCGTCGGGTTGCCAGCACCTGAAGCCTGTGGTATAGTGCCTATCGATTGTGTGACACCCAAAGTGGTGACATTAACTTCAGAATTCATGGCAATGTAGTCTACAAAATCGTTTGAAGTGAATAAGACATGCGAATGGAATAAGGGTAAGTGAACTGAGATAATGTCATAAAAACTTAGTAATTTAAATTAAATTAAACCACTTTGAGAAAATACAATCTCAAACATGAAACCAGACAGGAAAAAAAAAAGAAAAACATCCAAGTACAAGCGAGGTCAAACAAGAAGTGATAATTCAGTAAAGGCTCATAGAGGGAGTCTCATGCATCGCGCTAGTGTACTATGATCCTATTGGTGGATAGGTGATGTATGATGATTTGCATGAGACACATATTGGAATTATCTGATTCCAATAGAAGGGTGCAGAAAGCTTCTGGTATGCGTAATAAAAAAGTTTGCATATAGAGGGCAGCAATAAACGAGAATAGCTAATCTTGTGAGGAGAGGGTAGTACCATAATGGAATCAAAAGTTGGTAGTAGGTACTGCCACCCAGTTTCCTTTCCTTTAGTAAGTACTTCAAAATTAGTGACAGTGTCAGGTAGTCTTAGTAGCTCTGCCATGACAAAAACAAGGCAAGCAAGTTTGATGGAAATATTTCAGTTTTATAGATAGTTGGAATATATCAAAGACAGTAATAATCAGAAACCCTAATTTCAATTAGTTAATTATTTTTGTGACAATTTAATCAACATTTTGATTAATTGATTGTTTGAATAATTGAAAACAATAACAACTGGAAACACTAACTTCATTCAATTAATTAAATCATAATTTCAATTAATCAATTAGTTTGTGTAATACTAATCAATGTAATTGCTGCTTATAGGTAAATGATTATATCAGCCAATCTGTTAAATCACTCAGCTCTAGACAGGATAATCACTAATACCTTTCCATGTAAAAACAGAAGAAAACATTTAAAACCTCAGCCTTCTCAGTATTCAACAAAACCGTGCCAGCAGCATCTTTTAAGGGCCCAATCCCCATTTTAGCATTTTGTTTTCCTTCAACAGAATATTTATTACACTTTTAATTCTTTAATGTAATAAGACATTATAGTTTTACATAATTATTTCTTCATCAATTACAAGTTTTATACCATATTTCATTCACACATCTCACAATTAATAAATATCAAAAAATTCATTAAATGATGGTGTACATGTACAAATATTAGAAGTATGATCTCATTGTATAACTGTTAAACCAACTGTAACAGGACATGTTATTCATAAGTAAATATACTTCAAAAGAAAAAACTTTTTCATGAAATTAAAAGATAGTTAATTGATTAAATAATAATAAAAAATGAGAAATAATGAAATAGTGTACCACCCAAAGGCATTCAGCAGTAGAAGCTAAAAATTATGTTGGTGATATTACTGGGGAAAATGAATGGCTTATTCACTACAAGTATATATCCAAAATATGAAATATATATATGTGTATAGGAGGAGTGATCTTCTTGAGCATAATAATATATCAAGAATATCAAAACGACCACCAGCTTCAAAATACTATATCTTTTAATATCTTCAGTTTGTTGGAAGCACTTTTACAGCCTACACTGCTCTTCAGCCAAACTAATTAAATACAATACACAACTCACTTTAACAAAATCAAAATGCTTATACAATAATTATATCCCAATAAAAATATAAACGAATTTTATGTTATTTCAAATCCATAAACAGCATCCTTCTATGAATAAATATACAAAAATATATATATATACCATAATTTTTGAAATACATATTTTTTGACTAAAGATTTATCTAAAAGTTAGGGTGTATATAGTATACAGTGACAAATCTAAATGCTTTTTTTTTCAGCCAGTCCAGACCATTATTCCCAACATGCATTGTGAACAATAATGCATACTTACTAGAAATGTTGTGCTTTGATGGTATGTCTTATTAATTCTCTCTGTATCTAAGACACAAATGAGAATTGTCTCCCGTTGTTGTCAATTTTCAGTATTTTTAAATGTGATTTTTGAAATTAAATGATCAAGAAGCTAAGTGTTGTGAATTTTAGGATTTATTTATATGCATAGTTAGAAATGTTTGTAAATACAACATTAATTATCGTTAAATTATATTTGATATTCAAAACTACAAATCTTTTTTGAGGAAACCTTCAAATTCTGAGTCAGAACCACTTTCCTTGAATAGTTGTAGTTATTTTTCTACCAGCTGTAAGTGGGTTATTGGCAATGTCTATTTGCTGGCCTCAACTCCAAATATAGCAAGCAATACAGCATGTGCACAATTAGAGATTATATGGACACTCTAACATTCTTGTCATCAAACAGTTACTTTGACTGCAGTATTGCAAAAGTCTAGATGCATATTATTTATGGTGAAAAGACAAATTTGACTCTTTGTGAAGATTAGAGTGCATATTATATTTGGGAGTGTATTAGATTTGGAAAATTACAATATACATATATATATATATATATATATTTAAAGTCCAGTCAAACCCTTTGTATTATGTCATATTCATCTCTACACTTTTATCACTTTTGCCCTCTACAAACAAGTAGAGAAAGAACTTAACATGAAGAGCAGTAGAGCACACCCTAAGAATATATAAGGCAATGCCACATACACTACACAAGGAATAAAACAAACCTTTGCAATTTTTTTTCCAGTATCAGTTTATAATAAAATATTGCTTAATGCAATTTTTAGTCAAACATAATTAACGTAAAAATAAATATATATAAAACTGTGTTAAATGTTTCTTGTAAAATGGAGTTAAAGAAAATATGCAAATACATTTCAAAATTTTCAACTTAAGGTTGTCATGAGGTGAATCATACAAGATGCAGAAAATTAAAATAACATTAAATTTTTAATAGCAACAAACTGGGATTAAAAGAGCATATTAGCAAGAAATATATCTCCCAAAGTTAAAACCTTGCCTTAAAGAGTGAAATACATATGAAATAGAATAAGTGCTTATTTGTAGTTTATTATTTTAATTTTCATGAAAAGTGAAATATATATATCAATGACAGAACAAGATACATTTTAAGAATCTTACAAAAATGGCATCCAAATATGGCAAGAAAGACAGTCATTTTCAACATAAAAAAAGATTATGGTAGTGATCTCAATTTGAAAATCAGTGATACATGAATTTTAGGGTCAGACCAAACTATATCCTAATAATTACAGTCTAATAAACTGCTAAACTCACTTCTTAACAAATCAGATTATTCTGTGTAAGACTGAGAGGCACATCCACTCAAAGTAGACAGACTATATGTATGATAATATTATTAAATATTTTAATATTTATTAAACTCTTAAACAGCAATCTATTTCAACCTTTGTCACCAATACTATTCTGAGATGTTACACAATTTTGTAATATATTATTTACTTCCTCTGCTACAATTTTAAGAATTTTACAGTGTACAACTGGATTTCACTCGTTTCAGAAGTGATTAATTCATTACTTTCTCATATAATTTACTAACTCTAAAGAAAAAACAGAAGTACTAGCCATACATTCTCACACAGAGCTATAAACTTTATACTGAACTTCACATACAAATCTAGTTAAAACTTAAAACTTGGAAGTTAGAGAAAGTTCAATGAAATGTTAAAAATTTATCATTTATGTTAACTGATCAAAAATGTAAGACTAGCATGTAAAGCTTTTAACTAAAAAACAAAATGAAACTCATAATGAATGCATTAAAAGGTTAAATGCTTTAAAGCCACATGCAATGAATATGAATAAGATTTAAAAGCAACAGCAAAAAAAATGTTTTCTATTTGGGTGTAGTAAGTTGATAGTTGTACAATAACTTCACTACTAAACTTCTATCAAACACTTATCATGCTAAATTTGGTGATGAATACATTCATTTGTATCTAATAAAACTAATTCATGTAAATAATATTGCCAAACAGTATTATGTTACCAAAACTGGCCAAGTTTCTTCCTCTGCATGATTATACTTTTAGTCAGGCTGCTGGTGTTTAAGAGAATTAAAAGAACAGCTGCAAAGATAAGAAAAATTGTGTTGAAAAACAAAATCATGAAAAATAACTCTGCAAAAACCAGATACAATACAACTTGGCAAAACAAAGTCCATAGGTCACATACTTAAACCAATGGATGAAACACAGTCTTAGGCCAGGTTTCTGTAGCCCTGTTTGAATAGGCTACCTTTCAACAAGTCCATAGAGAAACATATACATGCTAGCTTGACTTTAAGAATAAAAGTTACAGTATGTAGCCTTTACCCATGTACAAGTACTAGCATCAATAGCACGAAAATTTAGCAAAATATTACATTTTGTTCTCATGACAAACCCGAGGAAGGACCATTTCCTAAAATGTTGTTCCAGGATTCATCAAATAACTTACAGTTTAATTTGGCATGTGTTTCACCTTTTTGTCTTATTCTACATTATATTTTACAAATGTAATACTAATAATGTATATAATGTGAGATGGTGTGGCACAAGTTCAGTCAGAGAAACTAGTCAAAAATAAATTCAAAATGTTTCATTACACTGTGAGTATATGCACATCATGGACCAGATCTAACTTTGTTCAAGAATCTAATTTGTTACTGGTTTTGTATTGGCAATATTATTGTGAAGTAAGTGTTATGCAAGATTAAGACTCAACAATGACAACAGGAAACTAACATTAACAGGACATCAATAATAACATTAAAAACTATTAATGTCATTATAATAAGTCAAGTTAGGATTAATAATAATAAATTACAGTAATACAAAGAGCAGCCTACAGTTAATATCTAATATTAAGTTTTTTGTTGAGTGTATCAGTATCACTGCCTGTCATTGTAATTTATTTTGTATCACTATCACTTAAGAATAAGAGTTGTTACCTCTCAGGCTTCTCTACTTAAATTAAGTTATAATTGAATTTAAAGTTATATCAAATATTTATTATGTTGAATTTACTGGAGCAATTAATACCCTTGTATCTAATGTTACTATTTCCTGCAAATGATATTGATAATTAAAATACATGAACGTACCGGTTCTATTTAATATTTTTTACTTTTCCTGCTAGTTCCAACCTACATTTCATTCTAAAATACAAAAAACATAAAGTCAAATGAATCATCAAACTAGCATTCAACAGAAGGCGCTACGATAGAACGAGTACTCTTGTCAACGTTTCGGTCCTAAAAAAAAGAAGTGCTTGAAAGCACTATGAGTATATCATTTTAACAACAATCAAAAAATGCATTAGGCCTCTACGTCACAGATTCTCTTTTCAATTTAACCTCTGGTAAAAAAGAAAATAAATCGTTAACACATATATATTATATATTTCAACAACAGTTAAAAAATAACTAAAAATTACACACCTCTAGCAGTGTTGTAAAACAAAAGAGGCTAAAACAAAAAAAATAATAAAATATTTAAAACTATGGTTTCTATTCGGGGGACATTTTTCAATATTTCATGCCCTGTTACTATGCAAAACTAACCGGTGATCATACTGTGCTGTAAATGTGTGCTACAGGGGCGTAAATAATAACAACGCAATGAACTTCGAGTATAATAGAGACAAAAAAAAAAAAAGGAAAAAAAGAAGGGAGCGAGATAGAGAGTTTGTTTGTATGTTTGTATTGTTACGTCTCCGTTCGTTAGTTAATTTTCCGGAAATTCGTTCCGACGAAACTTTAGCGACACAAGTCCTTTCTTAAATAAAACTGGTTTATTCTTTCTGAATATAACTTTGCGATACACTTAATTTCAACAGTCGCACTATAACAAACGCTATAGTTCGCAACGAACGTCTCACGTGCTCGACTCAACAATACTCAGTTCAATTACACATTGTTGCCATCACTTTGTGACCGTCTTATATATACAAGAATACCGAATCAAGTAAGCTCTCGAGAAGTCAGGAAGGGACGTGAACGTTCGAGAAGTGCATGACGTGTTACTAGCGTCACGTGACCTGCGTTGTCGTAACAGTATATTATTAAGAGCAAAGCTACACAATGGGCTATCTGTTCTATGCCCACCACTGATATCGAAGCCCAGTTTTTAGCGTTAAAAGCCTTCAAACTTGCCGATGAGCCACTGGGGGGTAATAGATAAAGAAGTATGTGCAGTACGGATTTACGGTTTGCTCCACGAACGATGTGTATTAGTTCATTTCAGAGAATAGGATTGTTGTTTATTTATTTACTATCTGTCGTAGCCATAAAAAATTACGGGCGGTATGTCTGCGGACTTACAATGCTAGAAACCGGGTTTCGATACCTGTGGTGGGCAGAGCACAGATAGCCCATTCTGTAGCATTTTGCTTAATTACAAACAAACAAAAAATTACGGGTTGGAGTTTTGTAAAAAAATAAAACTCTGTGAGCCCTCAGTCTTCCTTTTAGCAACTTTTGTTCATTAAACTTCCCTCTTCATCATAAAATAAAAACAATCACACTCTGATAAAATAGAAATGTTTATTTCAGTCAATCAACGGAGGAAGTCTAGTTGTTTTCTTGAAATTTGTTCACAAAAAGAAATATTTTTACAGTGAGCGTTGGTCGCTAAATGTTTCGGAGTGAGCTTTATTCACTAAAAGTTTCAGAGTGAACATTGTTCACTAAATGTTTCAGGATGGACAACGATCACTAAGCGTTTTTGAGCAAACTTTTATCACTAATTTTTTCACAGTGGACTTTTGTTACTAAAACCGATACAAACTTGTAGCTGTAAGAAGACAATGTAAACGTTAATGAATTTTAATGTTCAAAAGTAAAGTTTGGCAGCTCATGTGCATAGGAACCTCTTTTGTATTCTTTCCTACTCAAACTGGGCTCTATCCATGTGATAACCAAAAAAAGTAGGAAAAGGTATGTGGCTGGATTGAAGAGTAAGCTGTGTTGACTGTTGTATGACAGGGACGACACAGAGTAGCACAGCTAAAGGTATTGGTCAAGTGGATACCCAGTGAAGCCTATAGGTTGTGAAGTTCACAGGCGTTTTGCATGCCTCTTCTACAAGTAATATAGAGTGTAAGTACACACGAAGCCCATACAAATTTCATTTTACCAAGATACAATATTACGACCACATCTCTAAAGAATTTTAGAGTAGTTCTTGGCTATACAAGCTTTTTAAACTACAAACCTAGCTGAACTTTTGACCAAATGGAATTCACCTGATCTTACATTTTTAGTCTGGATCTTCGCTATTTAAGGCAAAATTCTTGACATTCTGGCTATCTCTTCCTTCAACAAGCTAGTGGTTATCCTGCCTTGTTGCAAAGATTTTCCACAAGGTGTTAAACAGCATTATGGACTGTTATTTCGATCAAGACCATAATGCCCAGGACTTCTTCTACATTGAAGAAGTTGACCTGGTTTTCTGTTTACCATGCAGAGCTTATGAATGAAGATGCATTGTTTGACGGCGTATCAGACATGAGAGAGCTCACCACGTCCATTATTGTGTTGTCTCTGAAGCCTCCTGGAGCCAGGTAGCACTCGTCACCAGTGATGGGTTTCATGAAGTTCAAGCCTCCACTGCAAATACTAGTCATCATCTAAAACCTTGTTGAGTCTAGAAAAGCCAAGCCTTTAAGTAACTTAGCAGCAGAACATGACAACAATGCTGATGCCAGTGAGACTAAGCCAACATCAACTAAGAAGAAACAGAACCCACTCATAATATGTCCCATCGAAGGGTGTGACGTCTCTGCACATACTGCTCTAATAGATATGGTTACACTACATTCCAAAATCCAAGAAAGCCTTTCTTGAGCTTGGCTCCTCTTGGGGGACGACCACGTTTGGGGATGGTCAGAGCAAGATGGGTTTCCAGACAACACCAGTTGCTGCTGAGATGCCAAATACTAGGTCTGAAGTTTTCACTACAGTTACCACCACTACCAAAGCAATGAAAACGAGCAAGTCTGCTTGTGGACTGTTCATTACCCCCCAAGTTTCTACACTGTAAATGAGGAAGCATCAATATTAGTAGCAGGACCAACCAACATCCACCTCTGCAAATGCTGAGACATCATCGGCAAATCACTTTGGGTATTAATAAATAGTCCTACATTAGAATAAATCCATATGTAGAAGTGGCACTGCCGGGAGATGACTACCACATGGGAAAAAGATTGTACTCTCTAAAACTGAGATTAGTAGCAGAGAGCTATGCCTCCATTATAGCTTGAGAAGGAGGTATGTCACTTGTGGGCCAAGCTGGTGGACACTAAAAGGGCTCTAACAAAAGCTCAGGACACGGTAAGGGCCACCACATTGACCAATCATAATAACACAGGTAGCCTTGAGGATTTGTTGGTGGTGAGAAAGTGTGAAGTCTCTTGTCAACTTTGGGTGTATGTATATTTTGCATATTTTTTCTTTAATTTAACAAGTGTTATATATATATCTTTACATATCTGTATGTTTTTTAGGTTTATTCTTGTTCAAATGTCTATATCTAAAGATTTTACTTGGTGTTTTGTCTGGTATACTTTATGGATGATTCTTTTTTCTATGTATTTCCTATATTTTTGTAAAATGATATTTTTTCTTTGATAATTTTATTGTGTAGATGAAGGGTTAACTTTTGTATGCCTCCCAATGGTACAGCAGTATGTCTGCGGACTTACAATGCTGGAAACAGGGTTTCGATATCCGTGGTGGGCAGAGCACATATAGCCCTTTGTGCTTAACTTCAAACACTTTTGTATTTTCAGATTTTGCTATATATTGAATTCTCTCAAGGTAATCTATACAGTAATATATTTTCTTTGTTATAATGTCATTTCTTTGTAGAATATTTTGTATTAAAGCGTGATGACTGTTGTATTAATTGTTATGAGGTTACTTTGATGTACTTGGCCATTTTTGAAGAGTTAAGGTGCTCGACTTGCAATCTGAGGGTCGCGGGTTTGAATCTCGCCCTTTCAGTCGTGGGGCGTTATAATGTGATTGTCAATCCCTCTATTCGTTGGTAAAAGAGGAGAAGACCATTCTCTCTAGCATATCATTACTAAATTAGGGATGGCTAGTAAAGATAGCCCTCGTGTAGCTTTGTACGAAATAACAAACAAACTAAACCAATTATTATTTTCCGTTCTATATCTACTACTGATAAAGTTAAGAAGAGTTTCTTATTTTATCTTATGGCAAAGCGATTTTGATTGTGTATTGATCGATGTTAAAAGATATCTTGTTTTTGCATTATCATTGTTTCTCCACTGTGAAAGGGGTATCTTACTGGTAGTACTTTGTAGTTTAATTGGTGTTTGTTGTTAAGCATGAAATTACACAAAGAGCTATCTGTGTTCTGTCCACCACGGGTATCGAAACCTGGTTTCTAGAAGTATAAGTCCGCAGACATACCACGGTACCACTGGGGGATTTTCATTGTAAAAGGTTGATTTTTTATGTATATTTTAAATTTGTGAATGTTAAATCATGGATATATTTTGTACTTGTGGCCATTGTTATCTTTGCTAAATCGTTAATTAATTAACTAATTAATTAATATTTATCTTTTATTTGTTAAAGGGCGTTTTTATTATTGTAATTATGTATTCCAAATTACCTATTCTATCTTAAAGCGTTCTTTTTGTGTTTACTTGCATCTTTGTTAAAGGATTCTTTGATATGTATTATTTTGTTGTCATTCTGTTTTTCATTATATATTTCATTGTTGAGTTGTATTTTCTTTTTTCAAGGGTTGTGTTCTCAGTGTTGCACGTGAATATTTAAATAACAAGTGAAAGTTAACATAATCCTTCACCAGGATGAGCGTCTAAAGCTAATTAGTTTAAAGCTAAATTTAATTGTCGAATTTAAGACAAGCCTGAAACAATGGAATAAAGAAAGCTGTTTTATGCAGGCATTCCATACGTTTTTACCTTCTTATTTTAATGTAGAACTTTAAAAAAATGTTTTATTATAAGTCACTGCAGTTTTTCCATAAAACGTGCTCCAAAAACTCGCAAAATGTTGTTCCAGTTGCCTTTGTTCTTTGTCATTCTATTGAGATCACACATGTTCTACCCATGGTGGAATGTTGCACATTGAGCACGAATGTCGACAGTATAGTGTCCTCTAGTGGTACGTCACGTGATATATCAATGTTACAACCTCTTCTATGTTTGAATGAGAGTGACTAATCATGTGAGTAACAACAGTTGCTATGGGTAAATGCAATGTTTCCCATTATGTA